AGTGTGTTCTTCTTTTGTTGTTTCAAAAACCCATCAAATCATTAACACAGACTAACTGAACTAGAGCACATAACATATTATTCCAAATGATTGATTTTGTTGTTGCTGTTGGCGTTTTTATTTAAACTGAAAGGAAACATTTAGAAGAATTGCAATTAATTGATTATTTTTCTCTCCTTGTATATCATGCAAACATGCTCTTTACTAAGACGAATTGTTAGATTTTAAAACAATAACCATGTGACCATATTGCAGATTTATAGTCTGTGGACCATGTTGGCCCACACAGATAATTTAGCTGTTTTCTTACACATAACCTTTAATTGTAAAATAAATAATCACAGCATATTGTTTATTACTCAGCTTGTCTAATTCACATCAAGTGCTGCAGTTCTGCATCAGTGTTGATCCTTTTAGACAGAAAACATCAGCATCTTTATTCTGCTCTTTAAAAGCTGCCTTACAGCTGATGTCCAGCTTACAACTTCGTCAGTAGCTGCCGGTATAGGACCTTGATTGGTCCAGACACAAATGATCCTTAATGAGCCTTAAATGCATATAGCTTTCATTTTTGTTATTACTGTCATTAAGCTTTATGATAATTTAGTTTCCTCATAATAAATATGAATTTGCTGTGAAGTTTAGAATCTTTCTTCCCCTGTTTGCAGTTAATGAAATAAAAAACATGATTGTAGATTAGATTCTTAAGTTGGTTAAGAAGATGTTGATCTCCTTTTTGTGTGCCTCTTGGCTTCGTTCCACAGTGCAGTTTGGGGTAAGGAGAGTGGAATCTTTTATAACCTGGTAATCAACACAGTTTAAGAAAAGTCACAAAATCTATGCACCTACAATACAATACAATACAATACAATACTTTGAGTGAGATTGAGGGAAACACACATTTTGTCAATGCTCTACTGCAAGCCAGATCTTAACTGTCTCTTTTCAAAACATTAAAATGTACATTTTGCATGTTGTAATTCATGTGACGTTTATACCTTATACCAACATTAATCATACTTATATCGTGGTGATTAGTCTGAGTGACCTCGGTAAGTATGTTCCTTCATTAAGAAAAGAATCTAGGTAGGCTAAAGGCATCCAAATTGGAGAGCAGAGGAGTTGAGGCTGAGCCATGAGGCAGGCCTGAAACCCACTGAAAATCTTCAGTGAATTCAAGAGACATAAAGGCTGGCCATGCCTTTGTGATGACAAAAACTCTGCAGGGTTTTCGCCTAATTTCATTTCTGTAGATGAATGATCAACGGATGTTTTATGATAGGGTAGAGTAATTACATACGAGAGAAAAAGTCATCACTGGGTCAAAAGGCTTGCCTAAAATTTATAGAGGGAGAGGGATCTGCCTTTGTGTTTTATTGTATCTGACCTCCATTTTATTTTCCTGTATGCAGAGATAATGACATGGCTTTATTAGGATATTGTGAAACTGATATTGTTGTCTGAGTAACACCGGTTAGTATAAGTTACTGATTTTGTGTTCAAAGTGACATTTGTGTGCATTTGTTTGTGAGGCCTCACTGAAATGGACTTTGAAAGCAGAGGCTAAAAATGTACACACACAGGCAGGTGCAAAACAGACTGTCAGACAGGTTTGACTCCACATATCTTTGTCTGGGGTAAATATTTGTAACTTCTATTCACCTTTGCTTTTTATATGTGGGTAAAGAGATGTATAACTCCTGAAATTCATTGTTAAATAATCACTCAAAGCTCAAACAATTCTTCCCTTGGAAAACTAGGATTGCAAAATATTAAAAATAGCACAAGTAGTATTTTGTAAATGAATGCTGTGGTGGTGATATCGGTTGTGATCAGGCTTCATTTAGATATTTCCTATATTTTTAATTAATCATCAAAAAATTGTTTCCAACTTTGGCATCAGTTGGAGCAAAATTAGCATTCAGAAAGTAACTAAAATATAACGGTTTTATAAAATGTTGTATCCAAGCAGTCTTTGGCACTTATGATAATTGCTGCTTTGTTACTAAGCCAGTATAAATTTTCTGGTTTTAAGTCTAACCCACTTATTTTATTTATTTTTTTCTTTAAACTAAACATAAAAAAACCCTATTTTATTTTTGTGTAATAGAGACATTTACTTCTTTAGATAATGAATGTTAAAATACATTAGTTAGTAATATTACTGTATCATATATTTAGTTTTACTTGAACAAGAATATTTTGAAGTAAAACCAACCACCTGGACAGGAACACACAGAGCGGGATGTGCTTCCTTCGAGACTGAGGTCCGTCAACAATTTGTAATAAGCTGTTGGAGATGTTCTACCAGTCTGTAGTTGCCTGTGTCTTTTTCTACGCTGTGGTGTGCTGGGGGAGCAGCACATCCAGGAAGGACACCTCCAGACTGGACAAACCGTTCAGGTGAGTGGGCTCTGTGTTTGGCAAGAAACTGAACTCTCTGGGGAAAGTGGCAGAGACAAGGACACTTAAAATGCTGGACATTATGGACAGTGCAAGCCACCCTCTGCACACTGTACCACTCGAAGGAGCATATTCAGTGAGAGGTTGCTCCTCCCTAAATGCAGGACCAACAGACTGCTGAACTCATTCGCTCCTCAAGCCATTAAGCTGTACAACAGTCAACACACCCTTCTTGGATATTTTGTGCAAAACATTACCTATTATTACTCATGTGCAATAGTCTTCTCACTCACTGTTCAATAATCCAAGTCAACTAATGTGTAGTCTTTCCTTAGCTCTCTACTGTGCAGATATTTTATATCAAAACACTGAAAAACATAATGCAACTGTTTTGGGCATTTACTTACGTAATTACATTTAGTTACTTTAACACAGTTGTTTCATTTTAGCAGGGTAGGACATACAATAATTGCATTAAAGTAAATGCCAAAAGCGGTTGCAGTATTTTTTCAGTGAAGGAAACATATTTCAGGACATTACAACTATTCTTATGCTCTTTTGTTCAACACTATATACACTCTTTTTATATTGTCTGTTGTATTTTTGTCTCTAATGGCATCTTGCTTTAACTCTGCTCTTTGTACTCTATCTAAGCTACTTGAACCAGAATTTCCCTGAAGGAGTAATCCCGAGGGATAAATTAAGTTGAGTCTAAGTCTAATGTTGCTCTTACCTGAATCTTGAATATCATTTCTTACCACTCTGCACTGCAAAAACAATCCAGAAATAAGTAAAAAATTGCTTAAATTAAGTATATTTAGCCTTAATTTGAGCAGGTAAATAAGATGATTTGCCAATGGAATGAGTATTTTTACTCTTAAAATAAGATAGTTAGATAATATTTACTTGAAATAAGACGATAAAATAGTTTTTTCTTATTTTAAAAGGAAATTGTCTTGTTCCATTGGCAAAGTGTCTTACTTACCTCCTCAAATCAAGGAAAAACACACTTATTTTAAGAAAAAATAACTTATTGAGATTTATATTTTTTGCAGTGTGACCATCTTAAGTTACGTAACTGATAGAAAACAAACATGCTAACCAACACATTTATAATTAATGCTAAAGTGAGACTTCTGGTGGGTAAAGAAGCTATATTATATTAATGTTATTTACTGTCTGCTCAGTCTGCTGCAACATTTAGAGGTCAACTGAATATAGAGTAAAAACACTACATACTATAATTTGTTATTCTGCTGCCTGATTTACCTTTCTGATCTGTTGTTTGGGGCAGTTCTATACTTAACTTTCTCCACATTGTAGAAACACATCTGTCTATGATCAGTAAAAATGATACATAAAAGACTGAGGGAGTCATATTACTAAGAAAGCACTGCTAAAACATTAACATTGAGAAGGCAGAATGTTGACGTTGAATATGGTCTTTTGATGCATTCCATTTCTCCTCTGAAATTTTGAATTTCTAAGTTGAAGATTTTACCTGGAAGGCCTCTGAAAGGTAGAATTACTAGACGGGAAGTTGGTGCAACAGTATGGTACCTTACTTCCAAGATGCCCAAGATGTTTGCTAATAGCGTCAAAAGTAGTAAAACTTTCCAACTTTCAGTGCTTGTAGTTTTTTTTTATTATTTATCTTTTTTTTTTATTGTATGAGGCAGTCAGTCATTCAGGTGGAATGACTGAAATGTTTCAATGGTGTGTATACGTGCAGAGCCTTACTTTCGTCATTGCAATGGCTGTAATGGGGGCTGTCGTAGTATCCATGTAGAATATGACAGTCCACAAACTGAAAACTGGAACTCATTTTCCTTTGAGATCATGTCAGTCCAGTTTCTCAAATACAAGTTTAGGGAATAATGGAATGGGTGTGTTCCAAATTAAATTCAGGCTTCTGAGTACAAATGAGATGCAACATTTGCCTCGCTGTTTTAACCATTCCTTGCTGAACTCTCAACCATTTTCTTTCATGCAGCATGCTCATTGTGCTTGCACTCAGACCCTTCTACACCAAACCTGACAGGCCCATGTGTGTTTTAAGCAGCTGTTTATCTGCACCTACAAACTGTGTCCTGCTTGCCAAACCCCCTTTTCTTGTTTTTCATCTGTTATTGTCTTGCCTAAAATGTGTGGAATCTTTAAATTCATCTTTAAAGCTGCCAGACAGACTAACAACATTAGCCAACTGGAGTTGTGACATTCTTTGTTTTGCATGGTGATTACTTTCAACTCTGAAGACTTGAAACTTCAATTAGTTTTTGTAAAGAGATAAAAGTTTCCACAGAGATCTGTTAATATTTCAATCTAATCCACAAATATGCATTATCAACCCAAAAACCAGTCAACACTTCAGTGTACCGTGCCCTCCTCTCTCTCCATCTGAAAATGATTGGTCAGTACACACCCTCCTTGCTGCCCTCCCCTCCTTCTCTCTCCCTCTTCCTACTTAAATACTTTTAGCATAAAGAGAGAGAAGAAGGGGAGGGGGATGGGAGATCTATGGGGGATGGGAGCTGAGTGCTACCTCTGTTGTCACTGGCCAGAGAGAAGCAGAGAGAGAGAGAGAGAGAGAGGGAGAGAGATAGGGAGGGAGGGAAAGAGCAGAGTTGTGTCCCATATGTGGAAAAAAAAGCATAGCAGTGCACACTCTAGTCCGGTCAGCTCCAGGGATTATCCTAGTGTTTTCAGATCTGATGGAGGACATGCAGGCTTGAATAGGTAAGGCCCTGTCTTCTTTGCATCTCTATGTTGATTTGCTGTCATGGCCAGCTGCTCTTCCTGCTGTGTGGTTTGAATCAAACCCTTATGAAGCAGCTCTGTCCTCTCTTTGGTCACTGGTCATTAGACGGTTCTTCTCCCTTGCAAATAGGATCTTCTTCCTGCCAAGCGTCTCTGTTTGTTTGAAGTGGAAGATGTGGTTTGTCGCTGCAGCTCAGACTGTTATTCTGGGCTGTGAGTGGTAAAAGTTGGCTGTCAGTTCAAAGTGGAGGGGTTTGTTGTTGCCTGAGTAAAGCCTGTTGGTGTCTAGAGATGAGCTGAGGTGGTCATTGCACAATATTACCTTCATATGAATGAAGGAATGTAAATAATTTTTTTTTTACAATGTTTTTAATGTGGTCTGAGAAAGTTCTTGGAATGTAGGAAATAAATGGTCTGTATATTTATAGAATTGTCCATGTGGATGTGAAGTGAACATTTAGAAATGTTTTACTTGTTTCTATTTCTAGTATAAAATGCATTTTTTTCTATGCAAAGATAACAAAACATTGCCAGCCTTCTATTGATTTATAACAGAATTCAGCAATTAAAACATAAATAGTAACCTGCTTACTAAACCTATGCTTTAACAAAATGATACAAGGGAAAACAAATATTTCACACAATATATGCTGACTTAGCCTTTAAAGTAGATCAAAGTATTTTTTCTCCGCTTCTAAAAGGTATAATCTATCCTGTCATAAAACTTAATCCCAGATATATTATTTATCAGATGAGCTGACATGTGAAACTCATTAGGAAATACCTTTTGTCTGCATTTGGAATATGGAGCTTCAAAGTATTTGTTGTCCCAAGAATGCAGTCTTTATTGCCCCAGCGCATGAAGCAATGGTATGCATGGGTCTTTTTGTGAGACTAGAAAACCCTCTTTAGAGACTGGACACAGCTCCACAATCAGCTTAATGCTGGTCTGTAATGAATGCCTTTGTGTGTTTGAATTTGGCCGGCTGTGTGTGAGTGGGTGAGTGTGAATTCTGGTTTTGTTACACTGATGGGGTTCTCAGGTTGGTCTGTAACTCTATCATTCTCTGGTTCGGTGTGTTGGGACTCATCTGGTTGGGTAACATTTGTTAAAGCATTTTGTAGCAGCAGGGAATTCTGCCTCATCTCTTTCTGTTTTTTGTTTTTCCTTCTCCTGTCTCTCACAGGGTTGTTGTGCTGTCGGTGCATACTCATGCCAGTGATGGACCACAACCGGACCAGCGCTAACCTTGGCTGGCATTTATGAAACATCATTCCTCCTTACAGAGACCAGCTCCACAGAATGCTGAGTCCTATTGTCCCTTATAGTAAGTAGGACATTTTTTTACCTTGTCTTTACTACACACCATAGAGGCACACTTGACTAAGTTGGACTTTGCCTAAATCACTGAGTTCTCACTGCAAAAATAACTCGGAGTGGACACGTGTGTAAACAGAGCGACAGATGCACTAGTAACTAAACGTGGGCCTCGAACCAGGGACTGTATTTTTCTTTGACATGCAGAGAGGAAACGCTAAACCTTGAGCAATGAATGTTTCATTAATAGGTGGTAAAGAAAACAGTAGTGGCCTGAGAATGAAAGGATGATGGTTGAAGCTGCAGAAACTCCTTAGCTAGGCAAGTATAATTGCCCCGATATAGCAATTCAAAATTTAAAATTGCACACAATTACTACTGCTTTCCCTTGACTTTTCTCCCCTTTCTACCCACAATACTGACTTAATAACTGACGTATCCAGTACCACTGCTCCCCCTGTGGGCACCTCACTCCAGGCCTCATGGGAGTCCAGTGCTCCAACTCTCCAAAACTTCATTGTTTGGCAGCCAGCAGGGGCCTGCCTCTGTGGACTCGTCCTCAAGAGCCCCTTTTTCCCAGCTCTCTTTCTCGCCTCAATGGACCATTATTGGCATGACAGTTACAAGAAAGGAAGGAGAAATCAAACAGAAGGGTTAATTTAAAAAGTATGACTTCAATTTGATATTAGGAACATCTCTTTGTTCCTTTGGCTTGTTAAAAATGAGTTCCAGCGTAGGCAAATGTGAATCAAAAAAACGCTTGACTGAAACATCATTGGCAGATGTTTGATAGTTACTTACATTGGAGATGCACCAGTTAATCTGTTTGGAAGTGTAGCTGGCCAATATTCTCTCAATCAGCATTTTGAGTACATGTCAATACATCCAGATGATTGGCAGGTCAAATCCTTAAAATTTAGATGTTATTTTGGGTTCAAAAAGTCATTAAAAATCGGTATCTTCCACAATTTCAGCTTACAAATGCATCAATCAACAGAAAAACAGTGGTGGTAGCAGATTCTCATGGTTAAATAATTTTGATGAAAAATTAATAATCAGACTGATAGAGCATCCTCTAATTTCCTTTCATACAAAAGGAAAATCACCAGTTACACTTTCTGCTACTAATGAAGTCTTGAATTACATTATTTCCACTACTTAAAACTTAATATAAAATACTACCAAGAAGTTGAGCTTGTAAGCAAGATACAAGTGTACTAGCCCTACAACTTCACGCAAAAGCCATATGCAGCAACCTGTGGGGGAAGGGGAATGCTGTGTCACCCTATGATAGTTACTCCATTGCTGTTTATGGGATGTCATTCACTAAATTATTCAAAACAGTATGATGAAAAATCTAATAACTTACATAAATCTATAAGTTTTTAAATAGTTTGTATTCAAAATCTGATTAAGTTTTAGTCCATTTGCTGGGATGCAGACATATGGTAAATTCTGCCGTTGAAAAAGACAGTCCAGGTTCACCTTGCCTTATACCTTAATACTGCATCATATACAAACCTTTCATGAGGTAAGTCAGGCTGCCAAGCTCATTCCAGTCATGTTTGCAAATTTTGCCATGTTAGTGTCAAAGCAGCACCGCTGCTTTAGAACTATACAACTGTGACTCTAATATTGCAGAAGTGACCCATTCGAACGGGGCTGGGCCATTCTAGTTCTTGAGGGCCTGTATCCTGCAACTTTTAGATTTGTCCTTGATCCAAAACACATGAATCAAATGGCTGAATTACCACCTCAGCATGCGGTCAGAATCCTTTCAGTCATCTAATTGCTTGATTCAGGTGTGTTGGATCAAGGACACATCTAACTGCAGGATACAGGCCCTTAAGAACTGGAACCCGCCCACCCCTGTGATATAAACATTACTAAATCTCACACTGCACTATGTCAATGCTTTGCTCACCCTGGCATGGAAGATGCTTAGCGCTAAAAGTGAAACTGATAGCATGACCTACTGTATGATTAATTGGGTTAATAATTACCTGACCTCTTGTGGGCACTGTTAAAGCACTGAAATCAAGTTCCCAGAGGGTCAGTTGTATGGACAACTTCTGATCATTACCTCAACAAAATTTGATCTTTTTAAAATCTGTTCAGCTAACTTACGATGGAAATCTTGTGAGTTTTTACCATGTATCAGAAGCAATGTTGAAGCAGCAGGCGGAAGGCACTAAAAGTACTCCAAGTCCTCTTAAACCCTTGGAAAAAAAGTCACCAACATAAATTTATAATCTGAAGCATTTTTTAAATTTTTTTGTCTTGATCTAAATGTTTCCATTTTGACTAAAAAGGTTTGCTGCTCCATGACAGCAGGTCCAAGAATGTAAGAGTCGGATGGTGGAAAACTTAGTCTGCGTTCAGACTCCTCATTGCTGGTTAATAGGTATCATCCAAACTATTGTGTGTGTGCGTGGTGGGGGGTTGGAGCCATTTATGACTTAGTGTAGTGGTCTCCTCTCCTTAGCAGTTTCCCATGTACAGCATAGCTCTGTTGTCCAGGTCATTTCAGAACAGCATACTAGTGTGTTTTTGCAGTAAGGAGTTTCACATGGGTACGCAGAGCAGTGTCAGGTAGTCACACTGTTTACTCTCAGACTAGTGGCACACAAACTCACCCATGTGCTCGCAGGTGACACTGCAGCTCTCAGTTAAAGCCTGGAGTAATAATTGAAGAAGACTTTGTATGTGTGCAGAGCATGTGAAGACTCTCACCTCCATGCTGGAATCCCCCTTTATGGGAATGTTGAGAATTCCTGCTTCCGCCTGCTACACTTGTAGTTAGCCTTTATGTTCCTGCATATAGAGTATAATGATATGCATGGTTGTATATGACAAAATCATTTGTGCACAACACACCCTTGGTCCATGTCTAATCCTGTCGAGAATACCTTAGGCTGGGTGAAACCACTATTGCTGGACCTGAGAAGAAACCTGAGAGAGATTGCAGGGGCCATGGATACTCCTAGAGGGATTTGGTGCAGAAATCTGTAATCTGCACTTCAAACACGCTCCTAAATCAGTCCCAGGCCGGCAACCCAGGAGTGCCCTAACTCTTGTTGCTGGGGGCCCCCGCTGGTGGAGTGATACCTTTTATTTTAAAGCACCACACATGCACAGAGAATGGCTACACACAAGAGTCCAGTCTGGCAGTTTTTAATGCTCTCCTCTGACTGACCCCTGTCTTCTCTCTCTCTTGCTCTACTTTTATGTTTTTTCTTTGGTCCTTGTGAGCAAGTCGAATTTTTAGGGCTGTTGATTTCATCCCATGGTCCCTCAAAGAGCTTGCTTAAGTGCCACGGCAGAATATATCCCCTTTGTTGGCAGAGTGGTATGAGTGTTGCAGTGGAACGCCCTGTGAGGTCTTTGAGTAAACACACAGCCTGCTAAACTGTGTGTGAATAAGAGCAAGGATCATTAGTGTGGGTGTGAATTGGCTCTAATTATTCTCCAGTGTGTGAATGTGGGCATGTTGTTTTGTGCATAGTTCAGGTGGAAAAAAAGATGTTTTTAGGGACCCAGGCTTTTGTGAGTCCAAGGGCCCAGTGCTTTATTTCTCAAGGGGTTTATCAGCTCATTAAGAAGACCTCCGCTCCCATTAAGGCTCCAATTAAGAGGCAGGGGGGTTGAGGATCACTTGGATGGCTGCACCTCACCGGATTCCTGAGGCAGCAGAAATTCAGAGCTTGACAGTGCAATGCATTTTTTTCACACAAACATAACTAATTAGTAAACGAAGGTGCTCCAAGAATACCTTACAGCCATTAGGTGTTTTAGTTCAGGGGATCTAAATTCTGCAATTGCAGCATGTGCAGGACTTTAATGTATTGAGCATAGTTGGTAAATCACATTAATCTAAGGGTTGTATGCAGAGAGGTTACCCAGATTATTTTGGAAAGAAATTGAGGGAATAAAGACAAAACAGAAGAACAACAACAGAGGAAGATTGGATGGATATCATGGAGCGACAGAGTGAGAGATTGGTTGGGTTAGACAGATGGAGGGGGCGATTGGTCATAACAGAGCCTTAAGGACAGCTGTTCTTTGATATATTAGTGGACACAATGACCTAAAGCCAGCCTGCAGCCACAGAAAATAGGGACCCTGTGTTTTTTGCTCTTGAAGGGAAGAGGGGATAGGGGGTGGGTGGGCTGGACTTGGCTACTGCCATTTGTGGACGTGCGTTAGCTGGCTTGGGGGATGGGGGGAGTTGTTTCTAAAATTACGAGCATGAAGTGACGCATCCAGCAATTATTCCCGAGGCTTTTTACTTTTGGAGAGTAGTGAGAAAAGTGCTGTTCAAATGACGGCTCTTTCAGATGGGACCTAACCTTCCTGTTACATCATCCTATCTGCTTACAATTTCAGAATAAAAAAAAAAAAAAAAAATCATCAGATAATTTGGCTGTTTTTCTTATTCATCCAGTTCGGAGAAAATAAAGCTATTTTGACAGTAACTTTTTTGTTTTTATTTTTAACTACTGTGTCTTATGAGGGAATTTGTTAAGAGCATACAAGTAAAATGTAATTTCATTCAATTTTCATTTTCTAAGCACTTTGTGGTGTTTTTTTTCTCCTGCTGCTGAATGATATTTTCTTAGCACATTGACAAAACTCTTCTGACAGCTGGCCTGGAACATTCCCGGAGGATTTGAACGCATAAAATAGACAAAGTCCAACTGTCATCATGAGACACAAAAGAAAGATCTCAAGTACAGAGATTGGAAACAGAGAGGAGACACACAGAGGACCCTCAATGTCACTGCAGGAGACAAAGTTTTTTTTTTCTCTTGTGACAGGACTTGTGATCTGCATTTAAACTCAGTGAAGCAGGTGTGAAAACTCCACACCAGATCTCCTACACTCTGCTGTTATTACATCTTTCTAAGCCAATGAAAGAGAGAGCATGAGAGCCAAGCTGAGGCTAAGTAAGAGTGTGGGTTGTGTTTCCTTTGAGTGAAAGTAGGTCTTTGACTTGGTTTATAATAATTT